TTGTCGAACTCATCATCTATTCAGGAGAGAATATCAACGTAATGAAATGACTGTACATTAAGTATCAATAAACATCAGAATTTGTGCAAACAAAATGCATCTATTTATTAACTTGCTTTACTCTAAGTTTCGGGTAATGATCCAGTAAGGGATTTTTAAAAAATTTTTAAATTAAGCATTACGCCCCGAGCAAGGCGTGAAGCCACTAGGATGCAGGGGGTTGCAGAAGATTTGGAGCGAGAGCAGATAGGAGTGATAGAAGAAAGGATGGGGAGAAGGATAGTGGATAGAGCAAGGTAACTGGAGATGTCGACTGACATTACATCTGAATAGTTGGAGACTATAGCTCTCAGGGAAACAGTAATTGGGAAGGATGCTCCACAGGCGAGAGGTGCGTGGTATGAAGCTATTGAAGTAGAAGAGACGGCTACATTTAAAAGTTACTACAGTGTAAGGGTGGGAGCGGGATGCCAGCCTCGTAGGGCGCTTGAATTCATGGAGTCTGGGAACCAGTGAAAGCAGCTCATCGGAGCAATTACCATGAAAGTATTTGTAGAAAAGACAAAGAGAGGCGACGGCGCGTCTGTGAGAGAGTGACTGTAGACGAGACGCCAGATCAGGTCTAATTATATTACATATCCGTCTCTGGATCTTGTCAAGAACTCCGAGGTAAACAGAAGGTGCCCCAGACCATATATGGCAGCAATACTCCATGCAAGGGCGAATGGTTGATTTGTATATTTGAAGTATCGATTCCGGGGAGAAAAATTTCCTGGCGCGGCACAGAGAGCCAACTTTCCTTAAAAAACTAAGATTTATTACTTGCTTAAATGTTATGTTACATATAGCTTTCATGATTTCTTCACTGGATATTTAAACATTTGATGTTATGAAGCATAGGGATTTTTTTTTAACATTTTTTTTTTGTATGTGAGGAGGGAAAGAGAAATTGGATCTGGAAGAAAACACATATTTGAAAATTGAAAATGCAAGTGGAGAATATGCACAACAGATTGTGGTCATTTCCCACCGTTGTTGTGAACCCATTTTGCAATTCTCATTTTAACAATCGGAACAATCCTCGATAATCTATCCTTCATCCTCGCATTTTCTTCATTTAATATTTTTCCTGCAGATTGTTTGTCTTGGTGTAAAAACACACACACACACTCACACACAGATATAGGAAAAAAATATAGTTTTAATGTATGCTATATTTATGGGTGAAAGTGCTCAACATCAGTGATAGAGCGTATGTAAATATAAAAGTGGACACTGAGATCAACACAGAGCGGTGACAGTCTGTCTCATGCTAAAACGCAGTTTTCATCTATGAAACAGACTGTCGCCGCTCGGTGTTGAGCCCAGTGATTACGTTTATATTTACATGCAATCTATCACTGATATTGAGTACTTTTACCCATAAATATAGCATACCTCAAAACTCACCCACATTCCTTCTCTCTCTCTCTCTCTATATATATATATATATATATATATATATATATATATATCAAGGATTAATTAATTATAATTTTTTTAAAATCTGACACATCTTTATTACGTCAAACATTATACTTAGTGGATACCCCTATTTGAGTAGACACTGTGATTTATTTTAAACAGAATTTCATATAACGGACTGCACATTCGATAAAACATTTTCTTGAGAGGAGAGCACATTACATATGTTTTCTCGAGTGTGCAATAGCAACTATAATTAACGTTTGATATAAGACATACATATATATATGTATATATATATATATATATGTTCATATATGTACATATATATATATATATACATATATATATATATATATATAAATATGTATGCATGTATGTAAGTGGACATTGAACTCAACATCCAACGGCGACAGTGTGTCTCATCCTTATACACAATCGTCATGCCATTTTGTATAAGCATGAAACAGACTGGGTGTTGACTTCAATGCCCACTTTTATATTTACATTCGCTCTATCCCTGATATTGAGCGCTTTAATCCATAAATATATCATATCTTAAAACTATATATATATATATATATATATATATATATATATATATATATATATATTTTTTAAGCATTGTGCCCCAAGCAAGGCGTGAAGCCACTAGGATGCAGGGGGGTTGCGGAAGATTTGGAGCGAGGGCAGATAAGAGTGATAGGAGAAAGGAAGAGGAGAAGGATAGTGGGTAGATCAAGGTAATTGGAGATGTCGATTGACATTACATTTGAATAGTTGGAGATTATAGCTTTCAGGGAAACAGTAATTGGGGAGGGTGTTCCACTGGCGAGAGGTGCGGGAGGTATGAAGCTATTGGAGTAGAAGAGACGGCTACATTTGAAGGTTTCTACGGTGTAAGGGGTGAGAGCGGGATGCCAGCCTCGTAAGGTGCTTGAATTCATGGAGTCTGGGAACCAGAGAGAGCAGCTCATCAGAGCAGTTACCATGGAAGTATTTGTAGAAAAGACAGAGAGAGGCGACGGCGCGTCTGTGAGAGAGTGACTATATATATATATATTTATATATATATATATTCTGGACCGACATCAATAGTTATTCTGATTCTCTTTTCAAATATCCTCTTTCCAACTCTGCCCGTGTGATTTTGACTGTAATTCATTTTGTTTAAATGTTTGCATATGTATTTTTTTATTTTTACGTTGTATGTTTTGACGTTTTTTATGTTTTTCCTCCTTCAATTTTTAGCTGTCATAACTAACCTTTTATTATCCCCACCATTTGCATTTCTCAAATACCTTAATAACAAAGTAAATGCTAAATTACTAACGACTCTTTTTTATTATTTTCTCATGCAGCGTATCGATATTATTCCTCGACTTCATTCCATAAAATTATCATCGAATCTTTGTTTTTCTTTGATTCAAATTTATCAGTTTTTTTCTTGTCCAGCGTAAGATGGGCCTCAAATCTCCTGCAATGGATACTTTCCAAGTATTTATTCTATTGAATTATTATTATTATTATTATTTCCCTTACACACAGCAAATGATGTTGGCTGCTAAAAAGTTTATTTTCTGGTTACACTTCATGACTTTAGAAAATAAACCTGCTTATTCGTTCTCTTCATTGACAAGTTTTTTTGAAATATCCTTTTTGTCATGGTTCTATTTTCATATCAGAATTCAATACCCGCATTTTTAAAAAATGTTTTCTTGTACAATGTTGTGGCAAGTATTATAAGCAAGAGAAGAAAGCGGTGGAAAACAGCAAAGTGAAAAATCCTGTGAGATATTCCGATGGAGACAGCGACAACTTTAGCGAACAACAATAAGCCAGGAATAATCCTACTGAACAAACAGAAAACGATTTGTTAACCTGAGAGAAATCTTCTGTTCATTTGGCACAAGAACTGAAACTTCGTCCGATCACCAAAGTTGAGCAACCTTGAACCTGGTCAGTGCCTAGATGGGTGACCATTCGAGAATACCAGATGGTGTAAGCTCGGATGTGCGATGGTGTAATAAATAAAGGCTCGGAATGAGAGACCAGAGAGCCGAGTTCGAATTCCAGTCGGGTTCGATATATACACTTACTTGCAAAGGGAAAGGTATGAAACCACCTCTTCTTCTCTCTGTTATTGGCTAAATTATAAGACTTGTATCAGAAAATCTTTATTATCTCCAAAAATTCTTATAATCCAAAAATATGATTCGGTTTTAATTAAACCGTAAAAAAACAAATCAATCAATAGAATTGAAAACAAGGAAAAAGGGAACATCAAAACTTACAATGATTTAAAATATGATATTTTTATAGTTTCGAATAACTAGTAAAGAAAGAAATTACAGTACCAGTGATCATTGGAGCACTGGAGTGTTGTACAAAATTATTATTATTATTCCATTCATTTCTTGTGTATATTACAGCTTAATGAATCCTTTTTACTCTTCGTTTAGCTATTGACATTATTTTTCTTTATTTAATTCTTATTTAAGAAAAGGAATTGAATAGAATGTATTACCTTATATCTAATAATAATTATATTGTAATAATAATTATATTAAACTGTAAAATTATTTGTATGATTCATAATAATAATAAAAATAGTCCGTTGGCTTTTATAATACTAACATGAAACTGTCGAAACTGTTAAATGTAGCCGTCTCTTCTACTCCAATAGCTTCATGTCTCACACTTCTCGCCTGTGGAACTCCCTCCCCTTTTCCTGTTTCCCTGATAGCTATAATCTCCAACTATTCAAATGTAGTGTCAATCGACGCCTCCAGATGCTTTGATCTATCCCCTATCCTACTCTTCATCCTTTCCTCTATCACTCCTTTTTTCTATCGCTCCAACTCACCGTAACCGCTTGTGTTCTAGTGGCTTCCCGCCTTGCTTGGAGTGAAACGCTTAAAAAAAAAAAAAAAGATGAAAATGTAAAACCAAAAATTTCCTGGTCAGAGATGACCACCTTCGAACTTTCACCATTTGGTTAGGAGAGTGGGTCAGCAACTCCGAAATGATGCGACAATTTCTGTTTGGTTAGTTACATGTAGCCAGGGGAAAAATAAACACGCCCACTCAAAGCCGGGCTATTTGGAGAGAACTATCTCGTGTTAGTGCGCAATCTGTCATCGGTGGATATAGATGATTACTTTTCATGCATTTTCGTGCATTTTCACACCAGAGGTGCCTTGGGGCTGTCAGTAGAGGTTAAGCTGCTTCCTCAAAAACCTCTCTAGCACTTCTCTCAGCGTCCTTACTGACTTTCCATTGTTTGATTGGTTGCTTTTGTTGCTAGGGGTTATTTAATGCTGCTATCTAAATATTTTTCACGCATTTTTTTGGAGGGAGGAGGTACCAATGGTTTTAGTGATACAAGTTTTACTGATTAACCCATAGCTGGGAGAGAAGAGGTGGATTCATACCTTTCCAAAGGGTATTTGCGTGTAAGTGGATATAACGAACTCAACGGGAATTGGAACTTGACTCTCCAAGCCATTATCCATTACACCACCCGCACATCCGAGCTTACAGCACCTGGTATTCCCAAGCAGTCATCCATCTAAGTACTGACCATGCTCGACTTTGCTTAATTCCGGTGATAGTACCGGAACCTGTGTTGTAACGTGAAGTGGCCGTAAGCCACCATAGATTTGGCTGCTTTATACTGCTAGTGCATTCACTATATGGCAGAATATTTGGTTTGTTTGTGATTATTAATTTTGATCTCTTGTTTTGGAGAGTGAGATCTGTTTAGATTTCAAAGTCCCAAAGAATCTTACTTTCTCCATTCTACAAGAGAAAGACAAACATTGCTAAGATCTACAAAGTATAAGAAATTGTGGAGAGCCATGAAAACCTACGTCCTGAAGGGACATGGCACATAGAAGAAGTAATCAATTTCTGTTGTCAACTACTGATCATCAATCATGGAGTACCTACTTCTGTATTTTCTTCACTCTGCTGATTTGAGCCATTTTTTTTTTCTTACCGCTTCTTCTTCAAGCTTTGCTCTCAGTGGCCATGTTTGTTTGTGGATGAGTCTTCATAGCTACGCTCAATTCTTCATTGTCAAGTGAAGACTTTCACCATGACCATTTCTCTTTTGGGTATCCAAATCACCAGAAGCGAACTTTCTGGAACCAGTTGATTATATGAAACATTTGTTTCGTATGTTATTAGCAATTCATTGTATCATTAATTAAATAAATATGTAGAAACTTTCATTCACTCTAATGATCGCAAATATAATGATATAGAAAATTCTGGCTGTAGATTAAAAAGAGAAATAATAACAGTTATATTTCAGCATCCACTTTAATCAGAAGAATGTAAAGCGCCTTGGATGAGGCGATCTTTTTTCACTAATTCAAGATCTGGTTCCAACGCCTGTAAGCTAGTTGAGAATGCTTAGTAGGCATTGATTAGTCTTTACGTTTTACACAGATTCGTGCGCAACAAAGTTCGGTCTATCGTACATTGCGAGACAATCTTTTCTTCAACTTGATTAAAGCAATCTATAATATGTGTCACAGTATCAATGCGATCAGGACACTGGATCAGCTTCTCCGAACAGATCTAACAGAAGCGATCAGTGGACCACACCAAAAGCCCCGAGCCGGGCTCTTTGGGGATAACTATCTCGGGCTAGTGTGCAATATGCTGTAGGCGTAGATAGCAAAAAGTTCGATCATTTGGAGGCATTCTTGCCTTCATCTTGATTAATGCTATCTATAATGTGTGCCACAGTAGGCCTACCGTTGGCTCGTACTTGGTAGGAAAGTTAACGTTCACATCTAGGTCGCGCAATGCCTTACCGGATGGTGATTTTTTATTCCATGGGATAGTGCAGTTAGATTCTCAACACAGCACTATCTCCGCCGTTTTAGAAAAGCTTTGACTCAGCTTTCTGGCGATTAACCGTTTCGCCTTTATCAAAATCAATGAAATCTTTCTTCTTGCTGCTAATTTCAGCACTCAACACAACAGAGATAAGTACTTGACGCAGATTTACCCGTTGATATATCTTCGACGGTGTTATGGGCTGTTGTTACAATACAGTCGCTGTCATTTTTTGTTCCATGTCGGTAGTCATAATGTTTTGGCTTATCGGTGTATACATAATCCTATGCGCTAAAAGACATTGCGTCATTGGTAAAGTTAAAATCTACGCCAATCATCAGTAAGCTTTTTCGGGTGAATGGTGTGGTCTTTAAATCACAACAAACTCATCCACATAAAATTGAATTATTTTTTAAACGGATTGGATGGATCAGGTGTCAAAATGAAAAATTGATTAATACATACTACCAGTATACACACACACACACACACACACACACACACACACACACACACACAGAGGCACGTGCGCACCCACGCATACACACATAATATATACATATACACAAATACATACACACGTACACACAAATGCACACATGCACGCACGCATGGGCACATGTGCGTGCATACACAGTAGCGCATACACACAGAGAGGCGCACAAGTTTGTATACATACATACAGACACGCGCACACACATATATATTGATTCACGCAAATACACAGACGGGCCCGCACACACACACATACACACATATACAAGCACACATACACATACATGCAAGCCCACATACACACACATGCAAGCACACATGAATACAAACAACAAACACACATTCAAATCCGCGTGAATATAAGCATACATATTTTAATACAGTCCTACAGAGACGCATATATACAGTAACGTCCAAAACTAAGGGACAAAATATTAAAACCTAATATTTGTTAGAAATAACAACTGTGAAAAGCTGAAATTTTGACAACTGGTAGTCGTTATCATCCATAATAACATACTAAAATTTGAATCATTTGCAAAGGATAGAAAAAGAACTATAACAATTATTTATTTATTTTCAAATTTGGAACGTCCAAAAGTAAGGGACAAAATTGAGATAAACAATGTAAACGACAAAAAAAAAAAACAATAAAAATAGATGTACAATCAATATTTAGTAAATGAGCCCTTGCTCTCAATGACAGCTGCACATCTTCGACTACAAGTACGAATCAGTTCTTGACAATCCTCGATACTAATTTTAGACCATTCTTCTTGAAGCTTCACCCACAAATCCTCCGTGTTAGTGGGATTTCTTTCCATAACTTTCACTCCTAAGGTCTTCCAAAGATTTTCTATTGGATTTGTCAGGACTTTGCGGTGGCCAATCCATAATTTCCAAATCTTGCTCGCTAAGGTAACTCATTACCACCTTTGCCTTGTGACATGGGGCATTATCTTGCATAAAGGTAGCCCTATCGAAACCTGAATTCTGTATGATTGGCACAACATGATCTTGAACAATGTTTTTATAGATCTGCGCGTTTACACGAGTTTGTAACCGGACAAGAGGCGTTGTACCTTGGCTAGAAAACATTCCAAATACCATGACGCTTCCGCCCCAAACTTGACAGTTTTCTTAGTACACTTTGCACTTAATCTTTCACCAATACGTCTCTTTACATTGTTTTTTTCCATCATTTCCAAATAAATTAAACTTTCTTTCATCACTGAAAAATACTTTTGCCCAATTTTCATATGTCCAAATTACATACCTGTTTGCAAACTCTAATCTCTTCTTCTTATTCTTCGAACTAACAAGTGGTTTCTTTCCTGGGGTTCGATTAAACAGCCCTATTTCTTGCAGTCGTCTACTGTAGACGACTGCAAGAAATAGGGCTTGACACATTAACACATGAGGTACTATTCATAACCCTTTTAATTTCTGTGCAAGATTTAAAACAGTCCTTTAATGACATACGCTGCATTATTCGATCTTCTCTTGCCGAAGTTTTGCGGGGTCTGCCGGTTTTAAAAGCACTAACTATTTTGCCAGTATCATTGTAGGATTTAACAACCCTGCCTACAACACTCTTGGAACGTTTCACTTTCTCTGAAATCTCTCTAATGGTGTGCTTTTCCTTGTGTAGCTTCACAATAGCTTGTCTCACAGAGTAATCAAGTTTTTGGCGTTTCGCCATGGTGCCGGCTGATGCAACGTTTACAAAAATGACTAAGTAAGATTTATTCTTTAGAGGAAATCAAAAATTTGAATATAGCATACTGTTTACATTGTTTTTCTCAATTTTGTCCCTTACTTTTGGACGTTCCAAATTTGAAAATAAATAAATAATTGTTATAATTCTTTTCTATCCTTTGCAAATGATTCAAATTTTAGTATGTTATTATGGATGATAACGACTACCAGTTGTCAAAATTTCAGCTTTTCACAGTTGTTATTTCTAACAAATATTAGGTTTTAATATTTTGTCCCTTAGTTTTGGACGCTACTGTATATATTTCCATATCTAAAACTTCCTTATTGATTTCTGTATTGCTTCATTCAGTCTTCTTCTTACTTTCCTCCAACCAACTCTCACCTTTTTAAGTGAATTTCCTTTTTTATTTTTCGTCTTTCTTTTCACCAACCAAACCTCTCCTTTTTATGACACTTTCTTTTTGTCTCTTTCTTTCCTGCAACCAACCCTCTTCTTTTTATTCTCTAATCTTTTTGGGGGTGGGGGCGTTTCTACTTTCTTTCTTTCTTTCTTTCTTTCTTTCTTTCTTTCTTACTGACTCTTTTAAATTCCTTATCGCTATCTTCTGTTTCTTTATTTCCTCTTGTTTTTCTTCTTCTTTCATATTTCCACGCGTCTAAATCCATTTGCTTTTCTTTAACTCCTGTTTCGTATCTTCACGTAATTCATCTTAATTTTTTTTTCATTTTCCCTCCAATTTTTCTCTCATCGTCAATCAATTCATTTTTTCCAAAATTTATTCATTCTCTTCGCCTATGCTGAATACACTCTGATTCGTTTTTTTTTTTTTTTTTTTTTGCAATTTCTCTTTTTCTTCCTCAAATACACATCTTATTACTCAGTTTTTCTCACACTTTCGCTCTTTCTTCCCCATTCGCATATTCTCTATCTTATTTCACGGCATTTTCCATTCCCGCGGTAAACAAACATTTCTTTTAATCCAAACTTTTTTCTTCACCTTTATCACTCTTACTATTTCCCTTCCTTTCTTTCATTGTTTCCCGCGCCCTCTATCTACTTACCTGTTTTTCTCATTTCTTTTACTTTTTCTTTTTTCAACCTCTTTTAACTCCCCCCAACTTTCTCTTATTCGTTTTTCCTTCTCTCGCCCAGTCTTTCGTACCATTACTTATTTTGATCATTTTTTTCTCATCCCCAGGCAGTTTTAGTTGTTGCGGAGGTTTACAAGGAACCGAGGCAAAGAGGCAACTCAAGAGACTCCAAAAAATAACGGCAGCCGGCAAACGAATTGAAATAATAACACCCCGCTGGGACTCTATGAACGAACAAGCCGGGACTATTTCCGCCCGCGGATCTGCAACTGCCAACAAAACCTTGCGCCCGTTCTTTTTTATTCGTAACTGACTCACTCGGGTGGAACTTTTTGAAATAAACAAGCGATTTTCAGACGTGACCTGCTCGCTGTCATAATCATTTGCTACTTCTTAACTGTAGACCGAACCATTCTCTCGTCAGAGATTAACTTCTCCATCTTCGCCGATTTTCTAATACAGCCTTTAGATCAGTCATCTCTCCAACTATTT